AATTAGAAGTTAATCATGTGGGATAATTAATTAGTTTTACTACGCTATATTGTTATGATGATAATGCAGATATTGTATATCTTTGTAATGAAGTTAAAGAGAACTTTATTCGTACCGAAGTTTGATCGCGTTTACAGTCCACATAATTATCAAATGCGTAAACATGTATTGAGAAATCGTTAAATTGTAATTCATTTGTCATGACAAACAAAATGCAATGAATTATAGACTCATGATTTAGGAAACGGAAGTAAAACCCAGCTTTTAGAATCATTATGATAATGAAATCTGCCACTGGTACATTCTGTATAAACGTAAATCTAGCAAGCTTTTCTATATTTTAAACAATTGTTTACAGCTGGAAAATATTGCACTTTCAGTTTACAGGAATGCTGCGAAAATGCTTTGTACTTAATGTCACAAATTAATTTTTTCTTTGCACGTAATCTTTCCATAGCAACAAACACGTTAGCTTTTACAGTAAACGTATGACTAATCCACGACTAACACTTTCAAGAAAAGATAATAAAGGGTTTGTATCTCTTAAAATTGTTAAAACAGGAGACAAAAAATGTTTACACTGTTTTATTTAGTTCAAAAAGTGCAATGCATCAAAGACAAAATCCGCGCGAGTTGAGTTTTTACACATACTCTGTATCACACTTTATACAAGGTAAAATTTGGAGATGAAAGACTCTGACAACCACTGGTTTTAGACTACAAAATATAAATAGCAATTAATTACGATTTTTTTTGTTGCTCCCAGTTTAATTAGTTTTCTTACTAAGCAGGGTTACACTTAAACATCATAAATGATTAACAAGGCTTTGTTATATTAATATAGTACGGTATTTAACAACACATAAAACGCCATGTAGCTCATTCTTGTGTCATTAATAATATACTCTGGCTGAACCGCGCCAGGAAGTGCACGTTGGATTTTGCACATCTTAAAAGCCTAAGAAATAAAGAGCAGTTTCGTGATGTTAATATAAGAATAATAATAGGTGAGGGTCCGACACCGTCATGCAATTCTCAGTGTCGAAGAATTGCGGTTTCGTTAAAAACTGTTAAACTGAAATAAAAATGTCACTTCGAGCATTTAATTCTGTACGTCAATATATATTAAAAACTAAACATAAATGAAGTTTGGTCAAAAGTTTTCTTCAATTTTACTCATTGAATATAGCAATAAAAATCTTGAAGGAACACATGCTTGCGGAAAACACTTTGGAAACAGTTTGGAAACTCAGATTTATTTAACTTATATTATGTTATATTTATACCTTATTATATAGACCTGTCTGATTCCTTAAAGAATTAGAAAAGACCTTGAATCCTTCAGAAAATGACGTATTAATACATAAAGAAAGGATAAGGACAGATGCTGGACTGAGAAAAAATGTCAACAAACAAAACCGATGCAAAGTCGGTTTCCTTGAATCTTTAAAGCACTAAAATGTATTCAAAAGGCGAAAATATACGAGTGTACATAGATTTAGATGCCATTATATGAGAATATGATTGCTCTTTGCAAATTTCATTTTTCCTTTATATTTCTTGAAAGTAATATAAGTAGTGGTGAATATTTTATAGTCAGCGTTTCTTAGGAATAAATATATAAATAAAATATGAACATGCATCACAATTTCCTAAGTTAAGTTAATAAATCTATAAGAATTAAATCTATGAACACAGGTCAGCTTCCTAAAATTGATTTCCTAAAATTGATCCCAAAATAACACGAAGTTAAAGTGTAACTTCCAAAGAATGCAATTCATTATAATAGTTAATGTAAAAAAATGTGTTTTTAAAGGAACGTTTACATTTCTAGTATAAAGATAAAATGTCATAAACGCTTTCTTTTTCTATTAAAATTCACTTAAATGAACATTTGATTAAATTTCTATGAAAGATTTCTATCATAATAAAAAAAAGAAACCGGCTACAAGAAATAACTATGTGTAATGGCGTAAGTTATTAATTTGAAATAAGTTAAATTATTTTTGAAATATATAGGTACGATATGAAATGAATAATAATAATCGTCATCAAAGATGTTTATAATACTTCTTCAAAAAGCCTGAGGGATTTTTTTTTAATTTAACGATACATTTGACGGAAAAATTAGATTGAAATCATTCGTTTAGAAATCATTTGTGAGTATTGAGAATATAAAATATGTTTATGCAGCAATATAAAGATATCAAATATTATTAGCAATTATCATATAAATTACAATAATTTGGGAAATTTTATTAACAAAACGACGGCATATTAACGTTTTTTATGATGCCGCCATTTCTTTGCTATACCATGTGTATATATAATATAAAATGGATAAATGGAATACAGTGTAGATGAGAAAAAAAATGAAAGAAGTGACGAATGTAAGTAAGTTACAATTCAGTAAGAAAGAAATATAAATGTTTTTTTCAAAATCAAAATATGTGACGACAGTAAACTCCGCTTATTTTCCGCTTTATTTAGTAATTTTTATCTTATTTATTCATAAAAAATATCGCTAATTTAGTCAAACAATTATATTTTATTGTATAACAGAGTGATTTTTTAGCCCAAACTTTCCGAACCGAATAATATGATCTTAAAAAAGTGCCATTGGTTAACATAACAAAGTATGTATAAATACAGATATGATTTCTTCAATATGAATTATTTAATTTTAAACAAACATCCAACATGTCGTCATATGACAAACTTCGCAGGGTTTTGTTCTAGCCTAGCCAAAGCCACTAGAGATCCTTTCCTATATACTTGCAGAAAAGTTATCAGAATAATAAAATCATAATACATTTAAGCACTACTGACCATAGGTACTTTGTTTTCTATTGTAAAAATTCACGTCAAAAAGATTTCCTCACTTTGCTCATAAAAGTAGAAATTGAGGAAAAATGGAGTTAAATGATCTTAGATAGCTTATTACAATATACATTTAGATATACTAAGAATGCCCTAACTGTTTATGTATTGCGATTTACATAAATCAAAAATTAGATGATAAAAAAAACTATGCAATGACAGTACGTAATAAGTTGTCCAACAACTTTCAGATAATGAAAAAGGAGAAAATTATGAACTGGAAATGAATATTAGCTTATTTCATATTTTGGCAATCACAGACATTTTCAACGGAACGACATCAGTGATTGTTGCGTACTTGGAATATTTTGGAATTTACCGAATGTCTACCTATTTCATTCTATTCTAGCGGCGGTGCTAGGGGGCGTCAGATGTTCCTACACTTCTAACAGATCATACAGAACTTAGTTTTATGAATTCATTATTGTACTTTATTCCTAGCATATAGTTGACCATATAGATGACCTTGTTCGAGCGTTCCATATTTAAAGAAATATTTGCATAAAATTTATTAGTTCATTTATATATAAGTGATCACAAAACACATTCAGCTATGTAATAAACAGCACTAAGGCAGTACGTCAGATTTTTGTATCTATTTTTTCTAGAAAGTTCAATGATCATATCAGCTCAAATATACATTATGAACATTCGTATTGCCAATTTATTGTATAATGTGAAGTTTTTATTTGTAATTTGTTGACATCCATAGCTTATTAAAGCCCCTTTAGAAAAATGTAGACCGGACTAACAAATTGTCAAACGAAGACATTTGTGTATTCACCAAGGCTGTCAATTATTTGTCTTACCGTGTTCTTAATAGATTTTTAATGGTATAGTTGTTGGTCAGTGACCACAGTGAAGGTGTTAAAGATACATAACATCCATGCGGACCCGGATAATGATTGACTTTTACGACAGAAAGTGTCCAGCAGTGTAGGTAAAGTATAATATCATATTTTCTTCCTCTTCTCTTATATAGGTTATTGTTGTGTATTTTAATTCCTCATATTTATGAAGTCATCTTTCACAATTTTGTTCAAAATCAAACCAACACAACAACACAACAACGCAGAATCTTCAGTTTGTTGTTAGAATGATAAGAAAAGAAACACCCACTTTTAATTAATGTGTTGACATAATAACTAAATACTAAACTTTAAACAACATAAAGTCCAGAAAAATTATCAACAAAGTCAGACAAGCTTGGTCCCATTGGGTTTGTAAATAATAAGAAATTGTCAACCAGAAATTCAGTGATGATTAGACAATGATTGTAGAAGCTTAACAAAACAAAATAAGCGTTTTATTGACACTGACTTTATCAACTACGCCGCATCTTTATATGTTCATAGGCCCGATTATAATTAACTTTTTACAAGTCTACGGAAACACCGATTCTTTTCAACAAAATCATAATAAACCATCAATTAAGATTATCAGGACGTCTCAATTGAATTAATTCATGGTTTACACAAGAGCATTAAACAAGAAATAATTCATGTTTTCACAGAAGATGTAACAATCAGATGAACTACATTAATTGATTCGAACTGATTTCATTCCGTATGAAAATTGATTATTATCTAAGCAGTGTATTTGGATAATAAAATAGTGTAAGATGTATTTGTTAACTCGATCGGTTACCTGTATCAGGATTTCAAAAGCAAGGTGCTTACAATAAGGCAATAAGTGTCTGCCTTTTAATCATATATTTGCCGAGCGAATGGGTCTGATTGAGTCTATTTACTTTGTTCATTAAATAGTCTCTGATCTAACAGTGGGACCACCTCTTTGACGGTCTTTGTTGCAAACTAACACCCGCGACTTCAAACACTGCCATCTAAACAAGACTTCTTGTTATGATTGTGTACATATTTTAGAGGATCATGAGAAAATGTCAAATTTCTATTTTGACCGACAAACTGAAAAGGGAATATAACTAAGAGACAGTAATTATGACAATTAATCGCCTGTTAATTTTATTTAAAAAGGACATTTATTCCACTTATTTACTTGTTACAGGGCATTTATATTGAGTGTGTACATCTTAAAATTGGGACGTTTTCTGACGAATTCAAATTTGTGTAATATTATATTTTCTTTTTCATTAAACTCACCTTTCTCCCTGCTTTGTTGTTGTGTTTATTCATTAAAGATCTCGCCGTTTCCTCAATTTCTCGTGCATCAAGAAATTTTCTAGCAAGTTTAAGTCCATGTTTTATATCGGCACTACAGCCACCCCAAGTCCAACCTTTGTCACCTTTTCGTTGCATTTGCGATTTATCACAACCGCATTTGTCTAGACTTCCTACACTACACGCATGCGTAATGGCATACACTACACCAGACGAACTTATTGCCGACCAAAATGCAGCTTCTTTGCTTGCTGAAAAATATGATTAAGAAAAGTAAATTTAAAACTTATCTTATAATAGCTTTATTTTCCTTTTCTTAATTAAATAAGGAACTATAAATGCAAGATAGCGTCCTTATCTATCTAATTATCCCCCTTTATGCTCGCCAGTATATAGTCTTCAACTCTTTAGCTAATAAAGCACGAAAGTTCTTGACATGAGATTTTGAATTCTTCTTTATTTTCTACAGTTATTTTTTTATATACGAGATGCATGTTTTGTTAAACCGCGAAATAATAACGCCATACACGAATCTGTATATTTAGTTTTTTCTTTATTTATTCTTCATTGCTTAATATAGTGATGTCTCGAAAGCAATAATGACAATGAAAAGTTCGATATATTTTGCGACCCCCCCCCGCACCGGTATGAGCAGTATATGTACACTTAAATATTATATATTACAGGCTGCATATATTGTATAAAAACGATAATATAATCGCTGATATATAATCTATAACTGACGGCAATGGCATAATGAAATAATAAAAGAAAATTAATCATACAAAATTATGAGTTCAAACATAAAAAATGTTATTATTTCGATTATAAATTAGAATGAATAAGACATTTGTATTACGCTGGTAATGAACACACTGTAAAGTTTCTGTTTAATTACTAGCAGCAAGTTTTAAGTATATCATTAATAAACATTTATGTTTCTTTATAATCAATCAAAGGACTGCGGTTATATGATGCACCGTTTTACCCTCCACTTCCACAGGTATCAGTAATCCATTACATTACAGATATCAGTAATCCATTACAGTATATATTATAGTTTTAGAAAATAGATATATAACAACCTGTGAACTTCTCAGGTAAAATAGGTAATACATGTATACATAAGATTAACAACATCTCCAATATGAAAAATCTCTAGTTCAACTTTTTACTGTTTTCAGACAATACTTCTTTAAAATTTAGAAAAGCGACACTGACTTTACTTTGAAAGTTGCACTTTTTACCTAGTTGATATATTTTATTAAGAATAATGTAATGTATTGCTTATAAAATCAAGAAATTATCATGTTTATTCCATAATTTATTTATTTCATATTCAGTGTATATTTTATGTATTTAATATACATGTATATTGATAATAAACCACGTTGATTTTTTTCAAAGTTACCTAGTCATTTCAACTTGAATCTGTAGCAACTTGAGGAGTAATTTGTCGGGTAATATATTGATCATGTTATATATTGAAGTAAACTAGGATCATTAGGAAATAGATGTATTATTAAAAAAAGAAAAGTTTTCTGAACCTTTCTATTCCACAATAGTCACAATGATTTGAGTAGGAAGGTTAGCTGTGATTTTATCTTAATTTAACGAGACAGCTGTTTTAAAGCGAATCAACATTTCTATATGAAACAGTTTCGGGTGGGCTGGTATACTTTTTTCATCTTTCCTCTTCAGTGCAATTTGATGCATGCACAATTCAGCCTTTAACTGTTTTATTTATCACTTTACCGCTCTAAACAAAAAAGGTATGGGTTGAAAGAAGAAACGGTGTAGGGTAGGTAAGAAATAGAGAGAGAAAAAAATGAACTGCGATAACAATCAAGATAATCCTTCTTAACATGAACATCTTGTAGCTTTGTGTGTATAAAAAATACAACGGCATACATCTTACGTTGCGCTGTAATACTGTGACATGAGAGAAAGAGTCGTTGAAATAACAGACCGTACAATACACAGCTATAAAGTAAGTTGTCAAAGTTTTTGTATTACTAACCTATGCATTGGCAGCTCATCATTTTAATATTTTGACACTTTCTATTAAATTTTTGACGATAAATCACCGAGATAATACACCGAGCGTCTCTAAGCGTCTCCGGCGTTTACCTGACATTTGCATTTTGATGGTCGTCTGCTACCGTCATCTTTTTTATGGAGATAGACAAGGAATACGTTTTATTGCGATAACCCTTTTAAACAGTCAAATGCTTTGAAGGCGCAAAACAAAGCGGACGAACAATTGAAAGACGTTAAGGTGAACATATGATGTTGCAAGCGATATTGTACATATACTGTTTTCGATTTTTAAATATGAAATATAGTTTACTATAAGTAATTTATTTAGTTTTTACGTTCTTTTCTTTTTTTTTATATATAAATGTTTCTATATATTTGTTTTTTATTTTGTTTGTATTTGAATAAACCAAGATCTTCCTAAAAGTCTAAAAGAAAATAACACAATTTGTTTAGTTTTTGTCTCTAAGACTGCAATGAAATTCATTGACAAAAATTGAATGATTATCTCCCTAAAATAAACTCAACTGTGCCTATAAAAAGAAACGAAATCAATAGGCATTTCATAAAAAAAATGTTTGAATATTTATAATGTAATTGAAATGTATTGATGGTACTGACCCCGTGAATAGATATATAAACTATTACTGTCAAACCGATCTGTTGCGTAACAGACATTTCATTATCTTTATTTGCACAACCTTTAATGTAATATTATTCCGTATAAGACCAAATTTATTTAAAGACAGTATAGTTAACAAGAACAAATATTACCAGCGAGAGATTATTGACCGACAATTATGCTAGAACTTTAGTATCACAATGCTACAAAAAAGAACTGCAAGTTTCTTTTTATTTAAATCAAATTTTTGGATTGAAAATCGTTACATTTATTTGACAATATTATACGTTTTTTTTCTCTTTAATAATGGGCTTTGCACTGTAGTATGTGAAAGATATTTTGATATCATTTTCTTCAACTCTCTTTCTGCTGCGTTTTAAAACGTATTGACCGACATCATTTCAATACAAGTTTTTTTTAATGTATCTTTTCAGTCTACCCATTAAGAATTATATCCAAATTGTAAAATTTGTTTTAAAAAAAATTAATTTGAATTTGAAAAATATGGCGTTTGGAGTCATAAAAATGTATTGCATACACGCCGAAGAATTACCATTGTCACTTGTAAAACAAACTATAGGGAGGATAAATGAGCGCTTCACTACAAAACCAACGTAATGGGTTTGCGACCAGCATGGATCCAGACCAGCCTGCGCATCCGCTGTTCGCTATCAGTTTCTCTACTTGTAATAGGGTTTGTAAGCGAACAGCATGGATCCTGATCAGACTGCGCGGATGCGCAGACTGGTCTGGATCCATGCTGGTCGCAAACGCATTACGTTGGTTTTGTCGTGACGCGGCTCAAATGAGCGCTCCGGTATAATGTGACGTTTTAATTTACCTGAATTGTAATGATTCTTATTATTAAGTATCTATTCAATAATAATAATGATGGATCGATTTATGTCAACACATTGTTAGGCGTGCTTTACTTCTTTTCAAAGGAGCAATGGAAAAAGAAACAACTGATCTATGATAGTTTACATTAACTGATTCCCACAACAGAAGAATTGTCTGTACATATACTTGGTATTGAATTTTAAAAAAGTTGATATTCTTATAGACGTATAGAGATTAACAAAGAGATACATGGTATGGTTTTAAGATTGTTATGACAAAGAATAGCAAATTCATTAATATAGTTCATATATACTGACTTATGATAAAGGTTTTTTAATTAGAAAGAAGCGCATTTTTACTCTTAACCTGTTTAATTTGTGTAATGGTTTTGCCCTGCTTTGAATGTGTGTGTGTGATGAGTTTGGCCTGCTTTGAATATGTGTAATAAATTTGCCCTGCTTTGAATATGTGTAATGATTTGCCGTTTGATTGAACAAGTCGTTCAGTGAATTGATTTGCATGCCTAAGCTATAAGTAATTGGCTTCAAGAAGTAAAGATATAGTGTGTTGCTTGTCTGCTGATACTGGTGCAAAGGTTTGTTTCGGTTTTTGTGGTAAGAGATCAGCTAGATTTTGACATCGATTGAACGCCGTTAAGCTAAACAATGATGCAATGAAACTTCTGGCTGTTGTGTGATAATTTTACAATATGTAAGTATATATATATATATACTTGGATGAAAGCAGTCCTATTTAAATGATATTCTGCATCAACTCTTATGTTGCAATGTTGCTAATTTCTAATGTCGGGGAATTTCAATATATACTACATCACAGCCTTTCTTGTATGTTTGCAGGTTTGTAGAGGGAATTATGTTATTATGTCTTTATTGACATCCTCAATGAAAGAATGTAATACAAAAATAAAAAAGAACGTTTTATATTTGATTGATTTACTATGCGAAACGATTGACGGAATAATGTCTTAATTTATTTAAGATTTCTCTTCGTTGTATGAAATTGTCGTGAACCTTAAGATAGTTAAAGTCCTTCGTCAATGTTATTAAAACCATTATATTATGCCAATATCTTGTCTATCAAATTAATTAAAGATCACGTAGATTTCTTCAGTAGACGATATCATTATATCACAAGATACGGTTCTCTACTGTTTTACTCTAATCAGTTATGTTTCTTTTGTATAAGCTGACTGTACTGTAGAGAGGTGAGCATATAAAATATTTGACCTTGTCTTTATTTTAGGGACTATATCTGACGGTAATCGGGCCTTAAATACTTTAACACGATGCCCTTAACAGGTGTCTTAAGTAGGAATATCACAGTTATCAGATGTGTGAAGTATGATTCAAATACTATCCAAATACTAACGTTTACATCCGACTAAGTATGAGTTAGCAAAAATAAAGACTGAATGTTTTTGCTGTTGAGTAAAGATCAACCTAAATTCTGGCTTGATCTAAGAAGATACAATGTCGGCCATGGTTTATAATCGTAATAAATGTTAATGCCCCATTTTTTTTCCGGAAAAAATAGTTTGTTTTTAAGTTATCAGTTTGTATTTGATGTGGTTTTCGGGTGATTTTGTATTCTTGCGCAATGGAAAGAAAATAGTGCAAATAATGTTAACTTTAGATTTTTGTTGTGAACTTTGCTATATTTAACTGATTTATGATAAGTTTGATTATTAAGGTGTATCAAACAATTATAAAGTGTGAATCTAGAAATGTTTTGATCAAAGACACATAAATGTAGGCTTTATTATCAAGATTTTTATCTAGCATATTTTAAAAACATTGAAATAAATAAGGTTTTAGATAATGTTTTATTTAATGTCTTTACGTAAAAAAGAAAAGCATTTGCGTGCGTAGTATCAATAACAATCCAAATACTTATATGTACCAAATTTATACAATTACTTTTTGTTTCAATCACTAAAATAGTTAGAAGGTTTGACACTGCTAGCCATGGCTATTGTCGTAAAATTTTAATTACAATACATACATGACACAACACCATAACACGCTGTCATTGGGATCATTTTATTTAATAAACTATTTTTCCGATTCAGAGATCAAAAGAAAAATCAAAGGAATACTTGCCTCATAAAGGTTAAGAATAACGCATTCCAAATTTGTTCATATTGGGGACAATTAATGATTTTATACAAATATCATAAAGAAATGGCGACAACTTCTCTAGACATACCTACAAAAAGCAGTTCAAACTACATTAAATAGACATAGTTTCTAAATATCAACCGATATTATAATATCAATTTTAATTCATATGCAGATTTTTATATATTTACTTATGATTTTTTTACATTTGACAGAATTTAACCTCAACCAATGAGCTAAAGTTGTATGAATTTGGGTTTCTTTGAGCAATACGAAATATCGCAACTGAAAATAGTTCAATTTAACAACATATGTAGTATTTACAGCTTTTTTTCCCTGTATAAAATACAAGTAAACTTTAATGAAAGTTTAGGTTAAATATACATAAAACCATGCTCTGAAAACTTTTATTAACGCTTAATAGCATTTCATAGTGCATTTTATGGTGTGAAAATAGTTGAAATTCAAATTGACACTGCGATTTATAAGTATAAATATATATATGAATTAAGTTTGAAGTTCTTATAAGTGAAGAGCCTCAAAAGATGTAATAACAAAAGCTTTATAAAACAGAAGAAGGAAGTTTGATAAATATTGAAATCTGTTAAATCATGTAATGGTAACTGTTACGCAAGAAGTTGCCATCCCCCACCCCAGCACCGCCGTAAGTAATATTTTGTGATCAAAAGTACAGTAACAAAGAGTTACTAGAAAAAATAACTAAAACTGAAGCAATTTTAAAGGATATTTTAAAGTGTAAATTTTAATTTTTTTGCATTTAAAGGTGCAAGCTCTTGTAGATTTGATTTCTGACTCGTGTTTATTATGTAATGTCTTGTTCAAACTTAGATTGTATAAGTTGTTATGAGGGTGTGTGTTTGAATCAAACGTTTGTAAACAAGTTAAACTATATGTTAAGCATGCATCTCGATTGTAAAATTTTAATGCTTGATGGAAAGACAATTATAACGTGTTTCTTTGAACTAGTTGAGATTAAGACACGTTTACATAATGACATATTTAATCATATTTACGTTTGTTATAATTTGACGAGTCTACCACGCAATTTGGAAAACAATCTAAAAGTACAATATAGCGTACCGGTATATTGTTTATTCTCCTGCTTGTTCGATTGTATGAGAACAGAAACAATATCATGTGATAACTTAGACTGTTTTTACACCACACATGTGGTTCGAACTTGTATTAAAATGGTATAAAGCCTTAAACATTATTTATTTATATACGTTTATATGTATTCATTTATACAGTCATTATTATCAAGGCATTGTTCATCAGGTCAAGGGAGATATCGTGTTTCTAACATATTACCAAAAACTGACCGATAAGACAAGAAATAAAAACATTATTAATTTGACATGTTATTCTATGTCGGCAATGACAAACAAATCTATGTTATCGTCTCTAACAAAATTACTAATTTGGAAACATTTTATAATGCTTCAAGAATCCTCTTGAGGCAAAATTTGATCGGTTTGTCTGTAAAATAAAATCTGTTTAGTGTACTCAGATACATTTTTGTTATTGTTGCTTTTTTGGAGCATTAATATAATTCTATATTTTTGTTATATAAGTTAAAAACAAACTGTTCAAATCTGTCACAATTTGCAAAGATGTTTTTTCTATGTATCCTGCCTACCTGTCACATTAAGCTTGGTGACTCAATAAAAAGAAACATAACTGTAGCAAAAAATATGCATATTTTATTTGTTAAAACAATTTCAGTGTAAATAAATACATATATATTGAATCACTATGAAAGATCTTTTTTGAGTCTGATAACTTTTGCTGGATAATAACTTTTTAGCGAAAACAAAAATTGAACTGTGATTTGATATTTGATGTTTCTTAAACTAAAACCTATATTTTATTGCAAAAACTCAAACTTATTGTGTTCGGTATTCAAAGCAGAAAACATGAAAATTGTACGAAAAAGAATTTTCAAAAACGTCCAACCCAAGTTGTTTATTATATTATGATTATTACAATGATTATAATTATTATTCCGTGATATAAGTACTTAATATACCAACATCTCATTATCATTTAACATTCGTTATGAACTTCATGTGATAAGTTGATTTTTTTCTTAATTTTAAAATTTGATAAATAAATAAATAAAAGCACGTTGTTAACGTAAAACAAATCACACAAAATTAGATAGATTTCAGAGCGTATATAAAATATTTATGTCACATATAAACATGATGTGTTTTTTTTCTGTAGTCTTAATCGAAAATAGTTTTCGATTGTAAATTCTGATTCATTTTACATATTTATATATCGAATTATTTGATAAGATCGTGGTCGGGGACATTCTTTGATAAATGAAAGTAGAAATAATTTGTTATGTTAGCATTGGACTTAATTTATCAATGTATATTTGTTTGATATCTTAAAACATATGCATATGAGCCGCGTCACGACAAAACCAACATAGTGCGTTTGCGACCAGCATGTATCCAGACCAGCCTGCGCATTCGCGCACTCTGATCAGGATCCATGCTGTTCGCTATCAGTTTCTCTACATGTAATAGGGTTGGTAAGCGAACAGCATGGATCCTGATCAGACTGCGCGAATGGTCTGGATCCATGCTGGTCGCAAACCCACGATGTTGGTTTTGTCGTGACGCGGTTCATATGCATATTACAATAATCCGTATAGGCTATATTATCTTATGTTGGTGCTTACGTGCGAGCTTTGATGTGAGACAGATCTAAGCTATTGGAAACCGCCACATTATCCAGTAGAATATAAAATCGGGAGAACTTTTGGTAAAAGTAAATTATCGTACATTTCAACGTTACTTCAATGAAACGCCCTTATTTCTAAAAATACAGATGAAAATAAATATCTAAAAGAAATCCATTTTAGCATATATTGCATAGAAATAGAAACAGGAATACCTAAAAACCAACAACAAACGTTTTTGCTGCATGTGTACGTATTGTGTAAATGACTAAAATCCCGTTCTTTGGTTATAACAAGATTCAATTCATTAATAAAATTGATATTTCTTGTCTTATAATAGCTTTCCTATACCTGGAGTCTTGTGCATAATATCATTGTATTAATTGTTTACCCCCAAGCTTTTGGGAGTCGAGCACCTACCTATTTCGTGTTGATATCCGAATAATGACTGGTATTTTGAAGCACTGGAACAGTTCCAGCGCATGTTTCGAAACTGAAACTGGCACTCTGTGATCCCTATTTTAGCTCCCTCGCCAATCACCGCCATTGCTACAGGCCTACTGCGACATATCGCCCTCTGACGTGGGGCAAGACCAGGGATTTTATTACAAATGATATTGGCCCCTAAGGCGACCACGGATGACAGTGCACTGAAATGTGAAAGAAAATTATGTTGCGTAAAAATATCAGTAAAAGATAATAAAAAACAGTAAAACAAAGCACTGTTTGATGACAAATAAGATCTTTTTGCTCACTTTTTGCTTTGAGCAATAGTGCTTATCTGTGCCCTCATTGTCTAATTGCTTCCATACAAATTCTTGAAATAACATAAAGGCAAGTGTATATTTAAAATAAAATGAATAAAGAAGAACACACTTAGGTTGTTACTTATATAAGAATTACTTAACACATATACAATAAAACGTTCTACGTAAGAATGGTTGGCGGGTATTATCATTAAAATATCTTTCGCCGAGGTCATGCATTCCAAAAATGCAATAATAGTTACCCTTTCAAGAATTGGAAATGGAATTTAGCTACATTATTGAAATATTTACAATATATTAATAAAAACCTTTGGCACAATGCATGTCTGCGTAAACACTGAGAGTTTTTTCTTAAACTTTTGCAATAACTGACTGTTAACATTATTATACTTTGTGTTAATATATTTTTGGCTTAATCAGAGCATTTTAAGTAATATGTCGTTCCTAAAGGCTGAAAACTTTCCCTCGGGCAACAGAACACTAATTTAAAATGAGATTCTGACACGTTTATTAATAAATAAAAATATTTAATTTCTTATCCGCCAAGATAAATTACCAATAATATAAACACGAAACACATGATATAACTATTTGATATAAAACTGTTTTGTTTGATTGTTTTTAAAAAGGGTAAGAAAGTGAGAGAAAAAAAAAGAAACAAAAGTGCTTGTCATAGGGTGGAAAGTGGTAATTACATTACTGGTGCCGGTGGTATACCACAAAGTTTGGGACCAAAGCCACAGGCGGTATATATAATGACATATTGATGCTTGAACGTAGGTATGGCACACGAACATTGAACAAAAAACATAAACTTGGGTTTAAGGTGTGATGTTGTCAAATATATATAAACATGCGCGTTTATTTGTTTATGGGTCTATATCAATGAAGACAGCCTTGAAAAAAGCTTAAAACAAATACTTTTAACAGTGCATATAACCACAGAAAACGACACACTGTCAATTATCTGCCTATATGAAGTTAAAGATCCAATATAAACGCAAAAGTACAGCAAATATGTAATATGATTAGACGGTACAGAAATAACATAGTGACAGATAAAGCGTACCGTCATAATACTTGAAGATTTTATCTTTTATAATTCGTTTATTGGGCTGCATATTTCAAGATCTGATAATGTTTCACACAATTAGTTCGCACATTCCTACACGAGACTATACAAAGTGTTGTACAAGTATATCAGATGAGATGACGAATTGTGTCATTATTCGAACCTTGGTCACTGTCGTAATTAGCAATCTAATTTATTGCACGAGTTTTCCGTGATAAGTCGTATGACGTGAAGTATTTATGTCTGTAATTTATGGAGGAACAAAACAATGAGAAAAAAATTAATTGATATTTTAATAGTTTTATAAATCATGCTGTGAAATTTAATGTGCATTCCATTAAAATAATAATTAAATTCCATTTGATAATGAAAATGATGGAATGAGGTTGTTTTTTTTTTCTTTTCAGAATGTAAATTTTATTATACTAAAACGCAAGGTATTTCTTCTATGACGTCATTTACATGCGAGTATATAAATTAATTTTGGTAAAATTGTTACAAATGGCACAGTTATATAACTTATATCATGTGATGATAAGATACAAATAAACACTACAATACAATCCCAAGATTCTATCGAACCCATCCAAGGTTTTCACAGATTGAAGAAATATGGTTTAGTTATAATCAGTACTGATAACCTCTGATCTCCTTTATAAATTTTCATAAAACACTTTCTTTCACACTATTTTTTTTAAATATAAATGTAAGTCGGTGCTAGGGGGCATCATTTGCCAGTATGATCAAAGTTTATGTACAATTCTACATAAAATACACTTCGATTCTATTCTGTTCTGTATTTATCGAGTATTCTGGTTATTATATATTATGAGAAAATGACATTTATGTGTTTACAGTTATCATTACACATTGCACATAAACCAAATGATATTCACAATATGCTAATATCACATAAATTTAATTGTGCGGAAAATATGTAACCGTAAGTGCATAATTTAATGTTTGCGGTTAGCTCCCCTTCCCAATCCTGAAGACAGGCGTTTTTTTACAAGCAATATTTTCATGCTGTTATAAAGGTATCACTAAAAAGAATCTACGGCGTATGAAACATCATCGGAGCCACGTGGCAAACTTCCAGATTCTTTATTAGTACACTGGTGATTAAATGTTAATTATTTACAACAAGAGGTAATTATTTTGCTGATGAAAATTACAAGAAAATTTCTATGTTTAGGAATATTCTCATTTGGTATCGATTTGAGATAAAAAAAAATCCAAATTTTAATTCAATGAAATTTTATGAATTTTCATTATTGTATAAAAGTCAAATAAATGGTGTATGGCATTCGTTTGTCTCTTATATGAGCCGCGTCACGACAAAACCAACATAATGGGTTTGCGACTAGCATGGATCCAGACCAGCCTGCGATCCACTGATCGCTTACCAACTCTAAAACAAGTAGAGAAACTGATAGCGAACAGTATGGATCCTGATCAGACTGCGCGGATGCGCAGGCTGATCTGGATCCATGCTGGTCGCAAACGCACTATGTTGGTTTTGTCGTGACGCGGCTCATATGATTAAATGCTATTAATTAGTAATTAAAACAGTTGACATATAACCATTGGACAATTTATTACGTAAACAATGAAATACTCACGTGCAAAACATATCTATCATAATGCTATTTTTTTAATGAAACTATCTATTTGTGTTATAAAGTTGACATAATATATGTGATAAAACTCGTGCTGTTAGAACTGGGGGACATTTATTGTTTCTATTTCACGCATGACCAATTTTCAACGTCTGCGTCGGCGGTCGTAAAAAGCACGAAATAAAACCAGAAAAAGTATGACCTCAAATAAAAGAAATGAGTGTGCTTAAACAAAAACTTATATTTGCTAGTTATCTTATAGAAGCATAATAACATGAAATATTTTGAATACATACACGCACTGAGTATTCTTAAATCAATGTATGACTGCACGTGTTAACAAAAAGTAAAATTGCGTGAAATTTACAGTATTAATCAAACCATTAATAGTATGGTATGAAGGTTTATAGCTTTAATTAGTTTAATTAATATAATCTTAACTCTAAAGAAATAACATTCTTAGTTTGAACTATAAAACTAACAAACTATAATATTTAGAATGTTATGAACACGTAGCTAAAACTTGAGATTTTTTTCAATATTGACAAAAACTCTTCATCATCATGACTTAAAACGTGTAATTTCTAGTTGGCATAGCAACTTTTGCAGCGAAATTGATCGTACAATATCTTTATATTATCTTAATGGTGGTCCATATTCGTATGTTTATAAAACATCAATTTTGTTATTTCTCAAGTGTGTAAATTAGTAGGTATGAAATGAAAGAATAACATTTTAACGAATTCCTGTACCATTCGTACCCTTTCTCTATCGGTCTTTACAATCAGTAAAACAATTATGATGTTAATTAACATATTTTGATGTATAAAAATTAAACTCGAGACTTTTTCTGCAGTTTTTATAGCTTTGTGCATTGAAAATTTTGATTTTGAACTTTTGTCGGTATTGAAATGTCTGGCAATAATTATTTATTTTACGTATATTTGAAGAGGCGTATTTAATTCTTACCAGTGGTGACCTTTTGCCACCAGTATAGAGCAAGGTCAGCCTTCAGATCCATGAAGTATGACAGGCTGTCTACCGTTGGTTGACCGACTTTAAATTATCATATTGTCATCCTAAAATATGATCATGGCCAATTCCAAAAATGGAAGATGGACCCCACGTCAATTAAAGAAATTCTGCAGGTTATTGGGTAAATAATTACGAAAGTCGTTACATTACTGCCTCTTGAATACTAAAACACAAGTTAGCCTTAAAATAACTTTTTAAATGACATGTTTGTGTTTATATTAAGTTTTAATTTGATTAGTTCCAGTCGAGGGCCAGCTGATATCACACATTTCTGTTACATTTCTTTGTTACAACAAATCTGATGGGTTTTTTATATAACATTGTACGTTCCTAGTACGTCTTGTTATTGCTCCGCCAGTGTCTCGAATTTGACGCATTTTTATCATCAGATTTTCCTTTCGGTTCCCAATATAAAGCTACCAAAGGTCGAATGAAACATACCAGGTTTTTCTATTACAACAACCAAAAATACCCCATAGATCGACCAGTACAAAGTTTGTCTAGATATACTATAAGTAAATATATTGTCAACGTCATGTGTATGATTGACGATCTTTGTTCACCTGTCTGTCTGTCAATTAGCGTGGCTTATCTGACAAAATTTATGTCCATATGAGTTACAATATCTTACTCAAATCATCGGACAATCGACTAGCTGTAAAACAAGCAAAAGGAGAAACCTAACAGATCGTATGTCATAATAGTATTGGAATTCTTAGATATATCTTTTATTGCCTGGTACAATCAGAGAAAATAATCTTTGTTCATAGTAGCAGAACTGTAACAGTGTCAAATAAAGGGATTGTCTCTGTAAAGATTAGATAAATTGTATACATTTTTGTTTAATCAAATATATAAAATAAGCTAAATATAAACGTTATGCCATTCCAACATTGTTAAAATTCCCCAATATATCAATTGTTATTTTGCATTAAGAAGAATCTTTAAAAATTAATTTATATTGTTATAGATAGTATGATCAAGAAATTAAGAGCAATGTAAACGGGAGAAAATACTTGAAACTCGCATAATTGACAATATTAATATTTTTTATGAGAGATAATTCAAAGTACAACATATCTCAAAATAGAGAAAAACAGAATCCCTTAAGAAAGTCCAACACGCCAAGATTGAAAATGTTGCAGGCAAGGTACATGGACGGTAGTGGTAATTACAAACGACCGTCAACGCACCCTAGCACCGACTTACAACAGCAGAATTCAACATTTAACATGAATGGCCAAATCAACGTCATTCTGAATGTATAGCTATGTTGTGATCTCTTCGATTATTTACAAAAACTACAGAGTCAATTGTTTATTTCACAGCAAATATACATACAATGTGGTATATATCACATCTGCCCTATCACTGGTCTACATTTTGATGACTGCTTGATATCATATAACCAATTATAACATTATATTGATATCATAGTTGTGTATTGGTTACAAGTTAACTCTCACCATTATAAATGTAAGGAATTTTGATATCAAAATGGTATAATTAAGTACCAAACATTAAAGATTCTAGATATGAAGGGTGATCTAATTCAATAAAAGCGACATTATTCAGATTATTATTCACGCCGCTAGAATCCAAACAGGTGCTTGGTGCATATGTACAGGATGTTCTTTACAAACATGTACTTTCTAGGTCTTGCATTGACACTTTTGTTTTGCCATGATTTTTCTTACAAACTTTCCCTGATGATGAGAGGTATTTAACAATGAAATTGAAATAATGAATCATTTGAGACGAGGGAATTACAAATTGAACAAAAACGGCATGATTTAATAGATAAATCATTCAAATGCACGAATGAATTATAACAAAAATTAAAGGATGTATATTGCTAAAACTTCGGGACATAAAATGGATTAATCATCATACAATACTTTATGTACATAAATATCAATATTATTTTTTAATACAGGACATTTGTGACGATGAAATATATCAACATGACGGTATTACTAATTCGTGAAATAGACCTATATGTCGGAATATTCAGTATCTAAAAATAAACTTTAATAATTACCACGTGTATTAATATAACAACGTTAATGATTTAAAGTGACGTTAATCATATAATTATTGATTCAGTCGATAAATTTAGGACGGACGGGATAAATGGACATAAAAATATTGTTCTGTTGTCAGTGTCATTTGTAAGAAATTCTGCTACACCAACATGGTGCAGCAGCAGAAGTTATGTAAGTTTTGTACGGTACGTGCACTGCAGAAGTAATGAAGTTTTGCACGGTGCTGTGCGTTGCAGAAGTTATATAAGGTTTGCACGGTGCTTGCACTGCAGAAGTTTTATAAGTTTTGTACGGTGCGTGCGCTGCAGAAGTTATATAAGTTTTGTACGGTACGTGCACTGCAGAAGTAATGAAGTTTTGCACGGTGCTGTGCGTTGCAGAAGTTATATAAGGTTTGCACGGTGCTTGCACTGCAGAAGTTTTATAAGTTTTGTACGGTGCGTGCGCTGCAGAAGTTATATAAGTTTTGTACGGTGCGTGCGCTGCAGACGACATTTTTATTTTTTATGACAATGACTGATTTGAGACAATAATTCATTTTAATTAACATTTGCTATCTGTTGGTTACAAGCGTACAACAATAATATATTTATTTTATTAAGTAGGCATTATGAAATAGTTCGCATTCTTCATCAAATAATGCATGAAGATAAATTAGAGGGAAGTACTGAGCCAATGTATTTTTTTCTATCTTTTTATGTGAAAAAAAGAGAAAGTAATTGACAAAATAAAAAAACTACAATGACATTGTCAGATTTTCTTTATATAGTGTTAGATATATCATGATACCTATGCGGGGGTGATCTGATGAAATGACGAGTAGATTCTAAAACATTTGATGTCAGTTAATGCATGATTCAGACAAATCATTAGCTTAAGTGTGGTACAGGAATATGGGTATTTAAAAAAAGCTAAGGTTAGAAAAAAATGCCGTACATGTACACTAGAGTTATGATAAAACATGTGTAAGGGATCTCCGAAAAGATAACATGTGATGTTTAATTAATAAGGATGAAAATAATACAAAAGGGAAAAATGACATTTTAATATAAAATCTCTAAAAAAATCCAACATTTCTTTTCTTGCTAACGTCTTCTGCATCAAGTATACCGTTAACAACCCCCTGCTCTCTATTCCGTCCCTCCCTCCTCTACAACTCCACCCCACCCCCTTGCAAATAAAATGTATCTCATAAATAATTCAAATAAGATGTTAACTTGAAAAACGAAAAACAAAAATTTAAATCAGTACATTTATATATAAATATTAATATATAAATAATGATATGAATGACGCGATGTGTTTATGTATTTAAACACTACATCTGAAATATGAGATAGAGATGTAATTTCAATAAACTCCTAATACGAATATAACATATAGCGTTTCTGAAATTTCCCCCCACTATTACATACTACTGTACCATCTAGTGAAATAAGACGTAATTAATTACAAATTATGATATCTTGTTACTCACATTGTAAAAAGATACACAAAACCGCGGTATATTCTGCCATATGCATTTATAAAGTCTGTCCCAAACTGACATAAACTTACAGTTATTCATATTTTACAGCAAGGGCTGTTGTGAAATTTGATATATAATACTGAATTATGGAGTTCAATGCGCATCGCAAGGTGTCTATCTGTATAATAATGAAATAGAGAACAGCTTCAGCTTACACAGTTTACGCACTGTATACACTGACGAGCATACATTTTATTATATCTTTTGCTCCAAGGTATCTTACAATTTCATAAAATGAAAAACACAAATTCCTCTGTGTGAAATTAACAGGTTATTGGAAAACTTAACGAGTTCTTACATATACTCTTTGAAGAAACGCTTTCGGGATAATTTTCAATAGGTTTTTTTTGTCTAAAGAAATAATATCTCTATTTCTTAATGACTTTTTTAAAGTCTGAAATGAGTTGTTTTCTTCTCTCATTTTTTCAAACGATTAACAAATTCAGAGATGAACAAATTCAGTATTTCAAACAATTTCTTATAGCGAAACAAAACCCCTTAAGACCCGACTTTGATCATTTAAGAGGGAAAGTGAAAAGAAAAACGTTTGGAGATTATCAAGAAATGAATGACAGAACAAGTCTTTTGTTTACGAAGCGACTGAAAATAACTTACAGAAAATTTCCGTAGACAAAGAAGATCAGGTAGAACAGTCCGATGAAGATCTTGTTGGTCCTACTAACTCCCATAGCTTCTAGCCATCGGTATTCCTCAAATCCCCAAGCTATACATTCCAAGTTCTTTGACTAACACAACTGATATGCTTTCCATGCAAGGCGTTCGAAATATTAACCAAATCAGAGATATTAAATTATGTCCGAGTTTTTTGTTTATCCCGTTCTAATAATGTTCATCTAAGTCATCGCGACTGTATCTGTACTTTATTTGAAGTAGAAATAATTAATACAGTTAAGCCCGTGCACTAGAGAATAAAATTGTTCAGCAAAGATTCCTTAAAATCAATTAGATATTCATGTACACTAGTTATTAACATAACCATATAACGCACAATCGTGTCTGAAATTCCTATACAACTGGCTTAAGACTCTCAGATTTCCACCACCTATTGAACAACGCAAATCCAAACGCAAAAAAGCGGTAATTCGAAATTAAATATACGTTAATGCCTTTTTTATATCTAATTTACTCTTACATTTAACGCAAGTGCCAAATTATCAATTATTCTCTACTTTAATAACGTTTACAATCCCTGTATATTATTCATTTCTTGCACATAGACTCCGGTTTAGCTTTAATAGTGTATTAAACTATTAGCAAATGCTCCCCATGCTTACATAGACATATCCATTTCACACTTTAACAATAGTGATTCAAATATTTCGTCTTATTTTACATTTATTTCAATACTCGATTGGTTCTCGATTGACAATCTGTAATTCATAAGCCATTTCAATACGAGTTCCCATATTGAACTCGACGATTGGTCCGAATGCGTCAATTACACCTTAGCCCCGCCTCTTCATCCTAATTCAACGAGCTATAGACAGATAAAAAGGTCTACCTCGAGAATGAACACATATTTCACTATATGGCTATATACACATCAATTGAACCGGTGACAAGTAACTATCTCTTTATTAACGTTGCAAAAAATCCACGGTCGATATAAAATTAATCTACACTAAAAACTTATACAAAAGCCACTGAATTCGTAATGAAATGTAGGCACGAGTGAAAAACAGTTTTAAATGACTATATAAGTTTTATACAGGAGAAGAATGCATAGTGCACCCAAGCAGACCAGTGTTGTCATTTATCAATCGCTAACTATATACATGTCTATTACACTCCTCAGTGACGAGTTACGCTGCTGCGTCCATGCCAATTGCTATTTTTAGATCATCAGTCTTCTTTATATTTTTCGTTTGAGTATGTAAACAGTATATTCATATGGTTTAAAATGAAGCATATTTTATCTATCTCCAGGTTGATAAATTATTATAATCATGAAATGGTATAAAATTACTTATAGTATTAGAATTAATCAGTCTTAATTTTCTTCCCTAGTCTTTCTAAATCAACGGGTAAATGTCTTGTTACGGATGAGGAATAAAAAAAACCCAACATATTTTTTTATGTAAACTCATCTCCTACGTGGCTCATATTAAAAAGTACAATACGCCATATTAAAATCTGCACTTTTACCTTAATATGAGTAATGAATTAATCTCGCACAACAACTGTTAACAGTGTTATATCTTTCCCCACTTTTATAAAACTTTAAAATTGTTCAACTAAATAATAAAGGATATGTACGTAGATGCAACTTCAGACTGTGAAATAAACTGAGAACATAAAATCACCAGTTTGTAACTCTTCAGTGCATTCTATACACCTATAGATCAAATAGTTGAATTTATCTTATTATCAGAGGCAATTTGATTATAATTTTACGAAGGCTTGTGTCGAATAAACTCGTAACAAATTTCGATAAACCTAGTAAAATATTCACTTTTAGCAATACAGAAAAAATACGGTATTTACGAGAAGCGATTTTCTTTATCTTCCTCAATAATAAAAAACTCATAACATATCTGATGTGTAAATATAAATAAGAAAGTAAAGGGTATGTTTATATGTATGATAGGTTTTGTTCTAATTTTAACAAGACAAAATGGCGTTATCAAATTTGAAATATATTCGTTATTTACAGCACTGTAAATAACTGTTCATAATAATGATGAATAGAATGTGCGTATTGCAACATAGAAGAAAAAAGAATGTACATTGGAGTATATGTAGTTTTGGGTAAGCAATACTTTATTTTGTTGAAATTGAATATTATCTGAGTCGGTGCTAGAGTGTGTGTAAGCAATAATCGGTATGGGCCGGTCAGCTCCCTTCCCATTCCCTTTCATTTTATTTGGAATCTTACAATTGTTGGTTTCAGATATTCGACTTTTAAAATGTTAGTATGGAGCATTCAGCAGATTACTGAATATAATCTTGTAGGACTGCACGGGGGGAATGTTGATCTGTCCTTATACTGGCGACATTAGTGATTGAGACACGTTTACATACCAATTGGTTGTTTGATCGTTTTACATGATTATGTTTTGTTATATTTTTCAGGTACTTTCAGATCATTGATTTCAAAACTATATTGTTTTTGAATATCATTGAAACCGGTGCTAGGGAGGTGGATATTACATCTATCATTTTCTTTCACGAACAGACTCTGAGTCTGCAATTTTCACATTTTTTCTATCTTTTTTACCATTGTCCAATTGCTCTGGAGGGATTTTCCGATTTTTTTTCTTTTTCAGTCAAGAAATGAGACATAGAATACTATTTTGTTGTGCAAAAGAATCAAAGTGGATAACCTATCACTGAATGTTTTAACTCTAAAGCGAAAGATAATTACTAGAGAACTTACATTGATATTGATATTCACTGTGTTATTTAAGATGTAGTATACTATGTAAAGGACAAAAAGGGGATAGGTTGCCTAGTATTTAAGATTCAAGCCCTTCACGACCATGTTTCCCTCATATGACATCAGTACCGGTTAGTTCAAAGGAGCGAGCCTCAGTAGTAAAAAGAAGCTTCAAGCTTGCTCCAAAATCGAGTATAAATAAATAATGCCTAAACTAAAATACCACGATGATTTGTTTGTTACAGAAAGAAAAAAATGCATGTCTTCACAGTAATTATAGAATTTCTGTGTGAATTAAATTATCAATAACGGTTTCCCTGGTAATATGAAACTTTAATTCGATACCGACTCTGTTTTGTTTGTATTTGTCTTCTAATTTTCAAGAAAACACATAAAATATCTTTTAATTACAAATGGATGGAAAACTATTGAGTATTGGCTCATAAATGTATGGCGGATAATAGTTAGAGAATATGTATTAAAATAGTAGGTTTGTGGTGGCAAAAAACAACAACACCGTAATTCGCGTGAACGACCAGTCATAAGATGTCGTGGATGGTATGATAAAGTAATTTAGATGTCAATTTAACAACCATTTATATCACATTTCAGAAAGGCCAGTCAGGGGAGAAACATGTATCGTTATCACAAATACAAAAAATGTTAGTATTTGATATAGTGTGAATGACAGTATATCAATATGATAGGGTGTTACTAATGTTTCTTATTGTCTCATTTTAATGTATGGCAGGGACAAACGATGTATCCATAGGCAAATACGTAAAATCAAAACACATTACGCATAAATTCATTACTTTCCCATTGTTTTATCTATTGGCAATCTTTGATAACAAATTGAACTAGTCGTTCGGATGCAAAAAATAGATTACACTGTTATTGTTTGCATCATAGCTCAACTTACATTTGAGCACAGGTTCATATTTGTAATTTAATAATTCAGAAACATATGGAAAATCTGTTCATTTTTGTGCGTATTTTACAATAACAGATATTATATATTGCATTCAAGTTCACTTATTTGTTTATAAGAATTCAAGCTAAGACTTTACGAGTATTTTTCAGTATGACACAGACAGGGTACCTAGTAAAACAAAATAGAAGCCTGAATGAAAACTAACTATAATCAATTAACCTATGGAGTTAACAAGAAAAAAGGCGGGAAATATGTCACGAGTGTAACAAGAGGTTTAACATTTTTTGTCAAATGTAAATGTTAATTAGAAACTCGTCGTCAATTTATTTATGTTATTCGACATAAAATTGTATTAAGATGCAGAAGAAAAGATTTGTTAAAATAAAAATGAAAGAAAGAAAGAAAGAAGTTCCTTCTACAATGTTTATTTGCATTTGTTGCGCATTTGACTTGTAAAAAAACAAACGTTTTTAATTTCAATTTCAGGGGAGACAACTTGGTGATTTAAAACTGATGTTTGGACATTACAAGAAGGCATGAGTCTTCACATATTTTGCTTGTCATTTTGGTATAGTTTTTAACTTACAGCTCGTTTATACGGTTTGATTTGGTTATAACCCTCGTGAAACTGTTGAGTAATTCAATCAAAATGTCCCGGCCGCTGTCATAATGACAATTTTATGGCCAAGATTTTATTGCCACATTAGAGGTAATCATCACACGAGAGTTTACCTTTATCAGTCGATAAAACAAAATGAAAATCATAGATGTAAGCCACGTTGAATTCCTCCGCGTTCGTTATATTCGTGTTTAGGTTGTCTCTTTCCCGATGTCACTGTTAATTTCTTTATTAAAACGCTGAAGCTGGGCCACAAAATGTTTTATCTGTCTAGGAGGACAAGCAGCAACATTTAATAATTGATGTCAAATGTAATATGTCCATAATATCGCCTGCGATTTGACAAATTGAGTTATAAATCTGACATTACATTTTTAAGGAAGTTGGCTCAGTTTTATTGTAACGTTGTCTTCTTTTCGTACAGTGTAATGTTTAGTTCATACATATCAAGTCCTTCTTTTACAATAGTGAAATATTAAGCACAGCGGTTTGGTGTATATGCGCGGACCACACAAAACACCTGAGCTAGGCTTACAGAGTGATTAATGCGCAATGTGTAAATACAAACTGGTTTTGGAAAAGATTTTTGTGGTTCGTGCAAAAACACTCACCAGTTTAAGATCCATATATCAACTGTTAGTTCATACAGAAGAATTTCATTGGTTAGTCTATTTTAGATATTGATTCGACCTGCCATAAAATGGACCAGTCAACAGTTGCCACGGTCCCTACCCCCGGGGAATATCGAATATTTGGATTATTATATTGCAAAATCCCTAGTAAAGGTCCATTCTCGTATTGACAGTCAGGTGCACGAATCCCTGCTTAAAGAATATGCATTGCAAATTTGCCATGCAATAAGGGAGTATAAGCCTTTTTTACATTACATCGACCCGGCGGTGCGGAGATAGACATAAAATAGATGCTTGGCTCATCCCCTCCCCACACCCCCGTGATCGATATGCACTTGCTACTAATTGACTTGTACATAAAAGTTAAAAGGCATACATGGAATTGAAACTGCAACATTTTATGTTTTCAGTAGATTTACGTACGTGCACACGTTCATTTTTTCACGAAACATTATCGAGAATTAAAACTACAAGACTTAAAAAGTATTAATTATCATTTTGTACAATGCTCTTCCTTTCATTTCATTTATTATTTTTGTTCACGAAAACATGTGTTTAAGCATGCAGAGTATGGTTTTTATTTCAGGTAATTTCTTTTTTCCTATGTTGTCATTTTTTTGTGTGTAAGATTACCATATAATTATTATAGAATTTAAATAACCAACTGAATGCGCTTATATCATAGATTTAAATCAGTCACATTTCTTTGAACAGATTTAATATGAAAAACGTTTTAAGTTGGTCAGTTAGAATTAATAGCATGACCTTAGCCTTAAGCATTGGCGACCAGCTTTAATTGTAGAAAATGCATGATTCATTCTACATCGTCCTAAAATGACTTGACAAAATATAAACAGTTATATAAAATTCTTTTACATCAACATATTTTAAAAAAAAGGACATTCATTTTGATTTTTGAAGTTTATTGTAGTTTTCATATATCATAATCATATGTTAGAGAGAAAAAACTAAACAAATAAACCTTATAAACAATCGTTAATGATTTATTACATATTGTTCGGAAATTGTACGCTCGCACACCTGTTTAATGCACGGTAAAAGTAATGTGTCACATGATGTGATGGATGGGATAATGAA